GGCGTCAGGATGAGTTGCTGAAAACAAAATGATCTTTGCTTTTTTCCCTGGTTTTAACCTCAGCTGTGTGGAAACTATGAGCTCTCCATGGCTTGGTTGTGGATGGGAGATAATGCTGGTACACAAAGATTGCCATGAGTAGAATAAGACAGTGGAAGGGGGCTGTTGTAAAATTTCCTCCCAAGGAAGTTAAGAGGAGGTGAAGTTCAGGGGGCAGGAAAGAAGATGAAGTAGAACTGTGCAGGAAGGGATGGCCATCCAGCAGGTAAGACATCATCAGCCATAACTTCACTGTGCTTCCCTCAGGGTCTTGTGGCTGGTTCTGTGGCTGTGGTTGTTTTTCCATAATGGTCAGGGAAACTGGCAGTAAGGAATGCTTTTTTTACACAGCCCAAAAAAGCTTTGTGAATAGGGAAATCACGTGTTATGTTCCTGGCGGTGTTTATTAACGGCAAGCTAATGAAACAGAGCACTGCAAAGAATACTGGTGTACAGCTTTAAAGGGCAGGCACAAAAAGCACGAGCCAAGAGCACTGACTAATAGAGGCTGCAGCTTTATTAAAAAGCCTTTTCTAGCAGGGAGCCATCCTGACCTGCCTTCCAGTTCTGTTTCAGCCTGGATTTGAGTGTATGGTGAATGGCATAAGGATGTGACGGCGGTGTTGCAGAGGGAGGCGTTGCTGAGATTCGCCTCCAAGTCCCAGCTGGAGGCAGGGCTGAAGCTGTCCCTCCTTTGTACCAGTGGGCAGGAGCAGCGAGACGAGGAAAGGCGCGTGGAGCTGTACCCCTTCATGTTGCATTGCCATGGTCTGGGCTGGTGTCCAAGGCAGCCCACAGAGTTACAGAGACCTCAGGCTGAACCCTTTCTAACCCAGCAAAGGCTCTGGAAGCTGCCAAACTCTCAACAACAGAGTTTAGACCCCTAAAACCAAAATGAAATTTGCAAAACCAACACAAGACACTTTTGGGAACCACACGGAGGAAACCTGTTTCAGACACCCAAACTAGGTATCAGCTGAGCCCACAGCACCACCAGAAGCCCAGTTCACTAGATGAGGATGGAAAGGTAGGAATAGAGAGACAGAAGAAAAAAACGTGCAACCACTTGTTTTTCATCCAATTGACTTTATGAGCTGACAGAATGGCTGAAGGTGTACCTCTGAATATCCCAGCCATAGTGTTATGATCTTCTCAATTAAAAAATACATGGTTCTGTTAAATAAAACTAATGGCAACACTCAGCGTCTGGGGAAATGAACAGTTAATTCTCAGTTAATAATGTTCTAGGGAGATGCTGAGAAATAGTGTGCCGAGAATTCAGCCATCCCTTTTGGCTTCATTGTAACTGTTCATCCTGTTCTTAATTCTGGAATAGTCATCGTTGTTGGGAAAGGTTTGCTTATACCATCCATTTTCAGCAAATAATGATAATTTAATGTTAAAAGTTTTGAATCAAATACAGTTTAAATAGAGCTTTGGCAGCTTAGATAAAATCTGAGATCACGGAGAAACATCTATACCACTCTCAGTGTAAGCGAGAGTGAGTTGTTGGGGTAGATCTCTCTGTTCACCACCACCAGAGCAAAATGGAACGCTTGTTTACAGTTTGTATCTGAAGTACGGGATGTACAAACCTGTTTTGATAAGGATCCTGCTGTCTTTTGTAATGTTGACTGACATCAGTCGCAGCCTGAATTTACCAAAGAAAGGGCGTTCTTAAGAGTTTTGGCAGGGAAAGGAGGTCATTGAAGGGCGTACCAGTTTTCATCCTGTTTGGAGAAATTCATGATGGGATTGTAAAGGTTTTGAGTTTAGTTTCACTACTGATGACTGAAATAATAATATCATCTGTGTTACCATAGTACATAGAGACTGTACAGTGCCTCTAGCAGCTCTGGAGAAGAAGAGGGAACCTACCAAAAGGTAGATGCAATATAAGGAATGTACAGTACAAAACTAAATGCGGATGAGATATTAAAAGGGAAAGTGATTTGTATGATAGAAGACTGCAGCTTTTTAAAGAAATGTATTTCCAAAAGACTAGGTGTAATTACTATAGTAAAAAAAAGGCCTGTTCTTAGCACAGTCGAGAAAAATCTCTGTCATGACCTGTGCTTTGTCTCAAAGACAATTTACTCTATCCATGGAACAAATACTTTTTGTGGCATCAGCTACGTAAGGGTTTGGGGTTCTTTCTTACTGTAAGGGACCTGATGCTACTGGCACCAAAGGCAGGTGGGACGTTGGGGCAGACTGCACTCAGTTTGGTGATGGACTGCTTTCGAGGTCCATGTGGATCCCTTGTGCCCTGTCTCAGAAGACTCCTGGGAGCAGTCTGATGTGCACACGCTGGGTACATCAAGTCCCTGGTGCCCTCAGAGCGCTTCAGGGTGCTCTGAAGAGCAACGAAGGACAGCAACAGCGGGGTAATCCATCCTTCAGCTCAGAGAGTAACGAGTTGTGCTGCTGAGGCTGATGGCATTGGGTCAACCTGAAATCTGCCTCTGGCACTCAGGGGAAGCCTGGAAGTACGTCAACATGTAGGATTTCCTCTGTGGCACATATATCTGCCCTGTGGATGGAGCTGGCGATTCGTACTGCTTCTAGGTGCCCCTTGCCCAGCCATGTGTGCAGGGGGATCCCTCATCTCCCCTGTACACAAGTTGATCCCACTTATCCCCCTTCTCTCAAACATTTAAGATAGAAGATGTTGCCTTTGGCCTCATGAACATTTGGGTATAGCCTGTGCAGGGTGTCCCTCTCCACCTTGCCTTTGCTCCACCACCAATCTGTTTAGTTCAGCAGAACCAGTCTGTTTGCCCATTGCGTATATAAAACTTGTCAAGATTTGACAAATGAACTACTTGTGGCATGTATGTTTATGGTTTTGTCTTTCTCATGGGACATATGGTATGTCTAATGTGGACTCTCATTACTGACAACAGCCAAGGTAAGGTGTTTCAGAGGAAGTTACCAGGAATCGTCACTGGGCAATTACAGGAGGTTTTGCCTTCTAGAGGAAGAGATTTTCATAACCTTGTCACTCGTAGCTGGTTCTGAGCTTTGAAAAGTAACCTGTTGATCACTCTGTGTTCTTTTTTAGCAGGAGAACTTCCCATTGTCTTTATAGATGGATTTTTTGCTTTTGTTATTTGTATTACAGCAGAACAGCAGGGTCCGGCAGTTGGGTGAATTGGGGTCCCTTTGTTTTAAGTTGATTTGTGTATGAATAGAGGAAGAGGCTCACTGTTCCGGAGATGTTCTTGTTTTCAAATGGGGGAAAATGTCAGATCCAAGAACCAGTCTAAATCAGCTGAATAGATGGGATCCACTAGGACATCTCATCTGTCAGCATGCCGAGGATAATATCCACTTACACTGTTGTTATTACAATTTTTAATATTAGCGTTTCTATTTTCCTTTTGCAATAGAACTCCATCCTGTGATGAAATTTGGCTCTGACTCAAAACCAGGAGGGTTCTCCATGAAAATATTTAACATAGTTGATTATAAAAATCCCAAAGTGAATTAATAGTTTGCTTGAGTGTTAGCTTATTTAGAGTAGACGAACTGAAGTATTTGTGGCTTGAATATTTCTTCTGACTTGATATTTTTAGATACTTAGTAAATACTATAATCGAGAGATCGAGAGAATACATTTAGGGCTGCTTAAAAGGTTGCTTGTTAGCTCTGTGTATGGAATAATTGCTTTGGGTCAAGTGAGATTTGAAGTAGCTTGGCCAGTGTTTTTTATTGAGGTTGGTTTTCCATACTACAGCACATAACCGTGTGCCTGTAGAGAAGCTCTGCTGCAGTGCAGTGCCATGGAGGTACTTAGCTGGGGAGCTGAGAGCTGTGCTTTGTCTTACTACCACATTATCGATGGGCTTTTCCTTCCTTGCTCTGTCTATTGAAAAATTACTTGAAAAAACATTTTTAAAGAGTAGTTATTAATGATGTACTGTCAAAAAGGAAAGATACATCAAATGAGCTTCTCCAGGAATCTGTCTTTGGTCTAGCATTATACAAAAATTCTCTTAACCTCTTTGATAATGGAAATAAGGAATAAAACTATAAAAATAGCAGATGGCACCAGTCTAGAAAAAATTTAGACCAGCCAGCTTTGAAAGCGTTGGTCTAAAGCATAAAATTATTTTGGGAAGTCAGGAAAATTGTTCTTAGTTAGTATGGCAAAATAAAATAAAAATAAAATTATGACAATGGGGAGGGCTATCTAGTGTGCTAATTCAGCGCAACGAATCGCTGTAGCCATTGCTGCCTGTAACAGGGCAACCATAGAAACGTGGGGCTCTGTACTGACCTGTAAGTTCATTATCAGTAACCACGCAGAACGCAAAAAGTCAAACACTGAACTGAAGGACTGTGTTTAGTGTAAGGCACTGCCTTTTGAAAAGTGGTGTGGGCAAAACTGCCAGGATCTCTGCAGAGAGCAAACAAGAGTGCTAAGGCTTGTTCTTTTAAAGCTGACTTATGATAGAAAGAAGAAGCAAGGTCTGCCTAGCCTAGAAGAAGGTGGACAGAAGGGGAAATTACAGTCTTCAAGCATGCAGAAAGTTGTTTGAAAAGTGGTGGTGACCAGTTTTTCTTCACGTCCATTGGAGGTGACACAAGAGAGTAATGCTGTAGCTTAAAGTTAGATGTTGGAAAGAAATGTCCTGTCAATATAAACAGTAGTTACCTGGAGATACTAAAATTTTTGTCACTGATGACTTTGCTTAGTGCAAAGAAACAGGGTGATTTTGTACAGTTAATCCTGCCACCTTCTAAGAAATGGGAGTACTTTTTTTAATATTCTGTTCTAACTGAACATGCCTGTGCTTTCTAACATGATTTGTCCTTTAAAATTATGAGCTGACACAGGAGAAGGAATCAAAACCTGTGGCTTTCATGACCAAGTTGCGTGATGTGCATTAGCAATTGGTTGTGCAAGTCATCTTTAGCCACATATGTAACTATGTCCTTCTGTCCTTCCTCAACAGTCTCCAACCGTCCACAACTACCCAGATATGGAAGCTGTGCCCTTGTTACTAAACAACATGAAGGCAGACCCCACGGAGGATTCATTATCTACAGACCATTTCCAAACACAGACTGAACCAGTGGACTTGTCAATAAACAAAGCCAGGTCATCCCCTACAGCAGCTTCATCTTCACCGGTTTCCATGACAGCATCAGCCTCCTCCCCTTCTTCGACTTCTACTTCTTCTTCTTCTAGTCGGCCAGCTTCATCACCCACAGTAATAACATCGGTATCCTCAGCGGCATCTGTACCGTCAGTATTAACTCCAGGTCCTCTTGTGGCCTCTGCATCTGGTGTTGGAGGCCAGCAGTTTTTGCACATTATCCATCCAGTACCACCTTCAAGCCCCATGAACTTGCAGTCTAACAAAATGAGTCACGTGCACCGTATCCCCGTGGTGGTACAGTCGGTACCTGTTGTCTATACAGCTGTGAGATCACCTGGGAATATGAACAACACTATAGTAGTACCACTGTTGGAGGATGGGAGGAGCCACGTCAAAGGTAAGGTGGAACCAGTTTTGTGCATCTGTGGCATCTCTAAAACCACTCTTGTATAAGGAAAATGTAACAACGTTATAAAACCGTTACTTTCCAAACTTACTGTGTCATTTGCTGAAAAGACATATAACTTACACTATCGGGAGGAACCTTTAAAAGTCTCATCCCAGATGCTCTTTAAAATAAATATTTTCATAAAGAAGAGTGGTGTTAGATGCTTGGACAACTCATGGCTAGTTTTGTCCTGAGAAGAATAAACCCTCCCCAGCAGCTGAAGAAGTAGAACAGAATAGTGACAATATATAAAACATCATAGATGAACGTGAAAAACTCACCAGGTGATACAGATTTGGCAGGGGAAGGAATGTCAGAGAGATTGTTTCCACGCAAAGAGGAAGCAATCGCTGGGCTGTAGGAATGTGTGAAGGGAAGGCTTTTGGACCAAAAAGCCATAGGAGATGCAGAGAGGTAGGTTTTATTCAGTTCAAGGAGTGGCAGTGCAATACTTTGAATTAGGTTTCTTCTTCCAGATTAAACAGAAGGGAAGGAAGCCGCACGGAGTGTATATGTTGGGAATGAGTTTTGCAGACACAGGACCTGGGAGGCACATGGAGAGGTGTGAAGGGAGGAAGAAAACACATGCCAGAAGGACAGATACACTCTTGGAGCGGTGTCCAAAGAACACAGAAAGGGGAGCTGGAGAGGAAGAAGAATGAGAACATAACAGTTACTGAGGGCGTAAAAACTTGTTAGAGATGGTGACATGGTGGGTGGAGAAGAAAGGAGAAAACAAATGTGCCCCGATACTTTGAAAAGCGTATCTGCATATCTGACAGAGAGGGGAACATGAGGAAAGGAATGAAAGAGACTCATTTCAAGGTTCATCAGATGTGAGTAAAATATGGCTAATTCTCCCCTGAAATGAGGTATTGCTTGAGGCAGAAAGGGAGGGTGCTGACAGATAACCTTACTTTAAGGCTTATAAGAGTACAGGGCATTTAATGATACATCTTATAACATCTCTCGTGTACCTAATTGCATAATGAACAGGTCTCTACAACTAAAAGACCTTTTTTCTTCAATTCTCATATCTGTTTTTGATATACTGGTGATTGTGTATTATTGTACGGGATCATTCTGATATTTAGTAGCATCCTGTTGTCCATAAATCTTTGGTTCTCCTCCTGTTCCCTCAGTACCCGAGTGTGGACTGTGTCCTCTCAACAGGCTTGAACATAGGAAACAAGCTCACAGGTGATCTGGGTTTTGTTTTAAGCCTCAAAATGACGGTTTAAGAAGTTTTATTGCACTTCATACAGTGTCGTAATTTTAAGACTTTGTGCCATTATGTCAAGAAGTGATGAATGAAAGCAGAATTTTTCACCATGTTGTCTGCAAAAAAAAGAAAAAGGAAAGTTTTAGTCTGTATTTTGATTTTGGAGCATTGAGCCGCACCTGACCTTGAGCTCATCCAGAATTTTTGCCATGTGTTTTCTTTTCAAAGGTGCTAGTTGGCTCTGGTAGTAGTCTCCTCTATAGGAAACACCCCCTGATCTTGTAAAACTGGAACTTCGCTACCCCCGTTTTGTCAACAAAATTCCAGAATTTAATGTGCCATGGGGATTTCAGCCCACGAGCTCCAGGCCTCCTGAGCTGCCCTGACAATATCGCCTTTGTGCTATTACTGGTCGAGATCATTTACCAGTCCTGCAGCACCGATTAATGTACAGCTAAAGAAAAAGAAGGGATTAAGCGTACTTTAATTTATTTATTTTTGTCATCACTTGTACCCGTTTTGCTATCACTAATTCTTTTGATATAAATGTTCAGGTTGATTTGAATAAATACAATAGAAGAATAATGGGTAACAATCCGTGCTAGGTAGTCAGCTTTTGTCAGCTTTTGCTGGAGCATGTTTTTCTTTCTTTAATGTAAAATAGTATGAATAATAAAATGCAATGATATTGCACAAATTAACCGATTAAATAAATTTCATATGTGTGCAGACTAACTCCCCTTCAGTGGAAGCTCTTGTGCTAAAACCAAGAACTAAATGTACACAGATGCTAACAGGGCATTGCTGTCAGACTGAATTGGTTGCTAATCCTCTACCAGCTGAAGGAGAAATGCACATTCAGAATCGTCTAGAGTCACAACTTTCAACTCTTATGTGAACACTGATCATTTTCAGAAACAAAAAACTACGCACGCTGAAACAAAGTCGACCCACAGATAGCATCGGCAACATTTGTTGCATCATCTCCATGTCGTTGCTGTCTTGGTGCTAAATCAGAGACCGTGTTGATGATCCAGGGAAGGAATTAAAGTTCTATTTTACATTAGCCTGTATCTGAGTCCTTGTCACTCTAATGAGACTTAGGCACTTTCCTGAACAGAGATACTTTCAGTGCCAAAATTAATGAAAATTACATCAGACTTAAGTTCAGACCTCTCCTGTTTTTCTAGATACAGTTGGTTGGGGGAAAAATGCAAGAAAGGACGTAAAGAAAGGTTTTTTCATCGTTCCCAGTTTTATTTTCCTCATGCAGAATTTTCCTCTTCCTTCCAGATTTGACTAGAACCATTTCATTTTTAATTTTATTGCAAAACCTTCTCAGGCCACCACCATCCCTCTAATGCTGCCTCAAGGCATTTTGCTCGGGTAGCTTTCTGCTTCCCCCGATGCTTCCCAGTCCACCTTCCTCTCTCTGGAACAAAACAGTCCTCCTGGTGGCTGCTTTTCTAGGTAGTTCAAGCAAATACTTTTTTCTTCACTTTCTGTTTGAATTCTGTCTTCCCTACAGCACAGGAAATCACTACCTCCTCTTCTGTTTCCCTCTCTTTTTCTCTTTTTCTATTTTTTTCTAGTCCTTCCCGTCTCGCTGACTGTTCTTTGAGTGCCAGTTTCAGCAGCTCAGCTTCATCTCCCCCTCCTTATCAGTTAATATTTCTAACCTCTACTGTCATCTCCTCCTCTGCCGCTGTGCATCCTTCTCCCTGGCGTCATTCATCCTGGCGTTCTCCATTGCCCCTTCCTTCAGGAGAGTCTCAGACCTCCTTTTCTGCCTCCCAACGTGCTGCTTGTTTCTGCTCTCTGTCCTCCCTCTCTCCTATTTTTTACTTGCAAGGTTTCCTGTTAAATCAAATCCTTTCTACAGTATTGAAAACCAGATGGGTTTGCAGAGAATTAGCCCTTGTATATATGAGCTGCCGGCAGCATCCCGTCAGGTCCTGTGCCACGTGCTACACCCCAAGGGGGGCAACGGGAGCTGGGGGTATTATGCTACAAAAGCACCCTTCTGTCAGATGGATGCTTCTTGCAGGATAAAAACCTCTCAGTATAAATCAAAATCGTGATTGAAGCATTTTTAGGAATTGATTATATTAGAAAGTAATCAGTGGTCGGTATGTTCAATATGGGTAATACAACACTAGCCATTTACAAAACCTTACTACAGTAATTCCTACAAATTTTTAACACTGTGCTGTAATCCCACAACACTCAAATGTGCGCGCACACACAGAGTTACGTGCAGACTCCCCTGCTGACCCTGGACCTTCCCCTCCTGCCATCGCCCTGAGGCACTTGCTGGGGAGGAGGGACCCCAGGGAGACCCCCAAAGTGGGGGTCTCGGTGTGCTGCCCCCACACCGCCAGCCCAGCTGTGCAAGTTGCCCCCTACAACCTAATCCTTGCATTATTTCATATGCTGAAAGCATAGTAATGTGTCAGGGCTGTCGGAGGGGATGGAGGGGACGGGAGCCAGGCACAAGTCCTTGTGGGCACCATGGGTCCGGGCCGCACCTTCTGCCAACCCTACAACATGGCAAAGAGATGTTCACTTCCTTCAGTGGTTGCTGCTGATCTCCTGTCATCCAAAGCGTTAAAAGGCACTTGGAGATTTTTTTCTGCATGGAGTAGGTGGTGACCACTAGACATTATTACACATTAAAGCATTCCAGAGCATTAAAACCCCATGAAAAACTCTTTCCTCACCTTTTTTTCTTCCTGTTCAGCAATGGTGAGGATTGCTAAAAGGTGTAATTAGAGGCACAGCAGGTAGTAGCACCTATAGATAAGGTTGCCTGATGGTTTCCCTTAAAACCTTGTCTTCAGTTGCTCACAGTCTGTTTATATGTTAACCATTTAGGCTAACATTTTCCATGCTGCATGTCTGCCTCAGGCTATTTCTTTTTTTCTTTCTTTTTGAGGAAAGTTTCAAGAAAAAACTATTCCACTTTTCTTGAGACTGAGCGTAGAGAAAAAAATGTAGTATTTTCCATGTTGAAAGGTTGAAAACCTTATTACAGCTTTTTTTGGTGAAAAACCCTAGAACCTCTGTGGTTTTGTGCCATGAATCTCAAGTTTGGTTTGGAGCATTGTATTTTATTTTTTTTTTGGTCTTTATAAGCACTTGAGGACACCAAGCCAAGTTTGGAGATCTGAAAAAAATTATGAGTCCCCTTAAAGGGTAAAGCAAAAAAAATTGTGGCTGGGAAAAGGCAAGGAGGAGGTTGGAAGGGGCTGGGCAGTGGGGAGAGGGGGAGGATGGAAGGGAGCGGGGGAGAAAAGGAGAGGTGGTGAGATGGCTACAGATGTGTGAACATGTTCAGGAGGAAAAGTGGGAAAGGGTCGGAGGCAGAGGAAGGAGGAAGATGCAAAAGCAGGGTAGAAAAGAGATCTGGGCAGGGTAAAGGGGTCAAGGAGAGGCTTGGACAGACAGAAGTGAAAGGGCCCACCATGGCAACAACACATTCCCCGACAAACTCTGGTCCCGTTAGCCTGAGTCTTTCCACTGCTTTCCTTTCAGAAGATATCCATAAATACTACTGGCAAATCATGTCCCTCTAGCAGCAGGTTTTGACAAAGTTAATATCCTTAAAAATTGCTTTCTGTAGTTTAGAAGAGTTACTCCATTCATTGAAGGGCCTTTTAGAAGCTCCCTCCTGGTGATGGTGCAACTGCGATATTTCTGGGGCTTGGGGTTCCAGTTTTTGAGTCTTCACTCTTATGGGTTTTAAAGTTTTCAGAAGACACAATCACTTGCAAAATCTGGCAG